GGAATTTGATTTTTTTAAATTTTTTTATTTTTTTAATTTTTAAAAAGTGTATTCTAGACGGAATTTAAGCATCCTAGACGGAATTTCCGTCTAGGGGATACTATGCTACAGTAGTGTTTTTTTTTTTTTTGCCAGAATCTACTTTGATGTATATACACATATTGAACAGCAAATCTATATTCTATCCAAACACAATCTAATTAATTCCAATATCAAATCCAATTATATTCAAATAATACATTCACCAAAAATAGTAGAGTAGATAACATTAAATTATTTAAAACGTTTACATAAATTATTTACAATGGCTATATGACAATGCTTAGGATAAGGAATGTAATTTCATCGTACATGATTAATATCTATTTGAGTTCCTTTTGTTCTTCCAGATTTGCTTTATGTTCTTCCAGATTCTGCTTGACACATCCAATCTTCTAGAATGCCTCATAATAGCCGAGAGCTGCAAAAAATGAAAACGGTTATGCATTAAGGCAAGGCCCAGGTGATGAATTGCAGTTAGGTAATTTGTTACACAAAACAAAGATGAAATATTAGAGTCTTTATGGTTAGCGTAATTGTTGTTGACTGTATGGAACTTGCAGGTTCACCGAAGCTGTATGGACTTATAATTATTATATTTCCACACTTTGTTGCATCTCTTCTCTGTTCCATTAGCCTGTAATCTTCTGTTCCATAAAAAGTTTATGGATACTTCAACCATTTGCTTTTTTCCATAAAAATCTGTATCTTCCACGTCAAAAATTTTAAAAAAAATTGTCTTTAAGAAAAAAAGTTTTTACATATGTTTCTCTTCAAATGCATTGCATGATTGCATCCATGTAACATCCATTTTGCATATATAAACTCCTCTAAAATGTGATTTTTTTTACATGCCCTACAACTTTGCGGAATGACTGAATGAGGATTAGTTCTAAGAAACTCTTCCATATTCAACAATCTAACTAAGCTTTTTTTTTTAACTGCTTTAAAGAACAAAACAGATATAAGAGTTCAAGAAGTTACTTTGTGTTGTGCCTAATAAATGTGCAAGTAGGCTTATGCGTACAGAGCAATCAGTGGGTGTAATGCGGTGAGATCAATTGGTCGACAAGTATTTTGACCTGAAGTTCGGAACAGTGATCAACATATTCTTGAGCAGATATATCCACCCTTTGTAAGAAAACTGCTTTGCCCTATTTTGATTAAATGTGGGCCTAATCTCAAAAACTCTCCTTTTACACTTGCAAGGGCTCTCCTCTTACTACTTTTTTCTCTCTTCATCCTCCTCACATTTGCCAGTTAACTATCAAAAGATGTGTTTAATATCACTCTCATTCAGGACGTGTAATTTGTTTAAGTTTATTAAATTTACAGATATGTACTCAAATAGTGAATTAACAAAACTCATGCAATGAAAAGAACTAAGATTCTACGCTATTCACAACAACAGGACTAAAGTCAATTCATATTGCATAATTCAATTGTAACAAACAGCTCCACTCTAAACCATAATGCGTGCCTCGTTAGTATTCGCCTCATTCACGGGTTTCAAGAACTGTTACGAGCACGACCTAATCTCTCTCT